CTCCGTCATCATCGTCACACAAACACTTAAAAGAAAATTTTGACGGATGATGCGGAGAGGCCGGGATCACACAATCTAAAAATGGAATTTTTCAGAGCCCACAGAATGTCTTAATGATATCAGAATTTTGTGATCATAGGCTCGTTGGATTCTTCTCGTCAAGCCACTCAATTTGATTATAAGCATTTCACGTTTAGAAACTATTTGGCAATCCAAATTGTGGTTTGAACCTTCCAACAATGCTTCAAGTCCTTGATTTGAACCCATTTGGACTCAGATTGACTCGAATTTGGTGTCGTTGTGTTCGTATTTTTGAGACATTCAGTTTGACTATAAATTTGCTAAATCGGAGTTCGGATGTTTCCAATTTTAATTTCAGAAGTTTCCAACTTGATTTTGCCTCGAGATCCATGCCCAATCAAGATAATTTTTTGATGATCTATCAACTTTTATTTTTAAAAATTTTTAATATGTTTCTTTTGTATGCTTTATAAATAATTTTTTACTTAAAAAAATCAAATTGTTTTTAGAAATATTCAGAATAATTTTGAAGTGTTATAAATTTTTAAAGCAACTATTACAACTAACTAGTCATCACAACCCTCATCACGGCCATTATTGTTATCAACCTAGCTAGCCACCACGGCAGCACTACTACCTCATCATCATTATATAAATTAATTTATTTGAAATTTAAAAAAATAATAATAACATATTTTTAAGATGCCAAATATAATTTATCTCATATCAAAATATAAATAAAATAAAAACTATGTAGGATTATATAGGGTTTATTACTAAAGCCACCACGGCAGCACTACTACCTCATCATCATTATATAAATTAATTTATTTGAAATTTAAAAAAATAATAATAACATATTTTTAAGATGCCAAATATAATTTATCTCATATCAAAATATAAATAAAATAAAAATAAAATAAAAACTATGATTTATTTAGCCATAGGATTATATAGGGATTATTACTAAGGCAACCGAATAGAGTACAGGACTGTGAGTTGTTTAGTAAAATTAGGGTTTATGGTACAACTTTGAAATAATATCCACATCATATTTTTATTTGGTCAAGAGTATCCCACAATTTTTTTTTTGAATTAAAATACCATTAAATTGAAATATAAGAGGGTATTATACAAAATAGTAGATTCAAACTTGATTCAAAATTGATGTTTCAAAACTAATTTTTTAAGGAACTTGCCAAATAGAACTATGCTGAAGCTAATATTCTAGTGGAGGCATTTGATAAGAAAGTATCGGTGCAACCAGACAATGCCTCGTGCAACGCCAATGGCAATCTAAAGCCAACCTATCCATTCTTAATTTTATATGCTTATTAACCATTTTAATTTTCTTCTTGTTGCATCCTAGAATATTTGCGCCGATAGAGAAATATAAAGTTTGACGTCTTAGTTTCGTACGAAGATCAAACACAATTAGATAAAAAAAGTGTAGCGTTATGAGAGACATTGGAGTTTTTACGTGGAAACTGTTAAAAAAGGGACAAAAACCACACGGTCTAACCTAGTTTGAATGAATCCACTAGTGTTTGCAATCAATTACAAATAAGGCCCTTACTTGGGGGAAAGGCCTTGGTTTGATGCAACAAATATACATTATATATTATGCATTACATGGTGGGAATTGGAAGAATCAGTATAGACATGTTTGTTTGGTCGGCGGGCGACGGAAGTCAGAAAGCCTGTAATCTAGCGACGGAGGTCATAATGACCATAGTCTAACGACAGAGGTTAGAAGGACCTTTGTCTGGCAACGAAGGCCAGAATGACCATTATCTGGCGATAGAGGTCAGAAGGATCGTAGTCGTCAGATAACTGTGGCCAAAAATATCATTATCTAACAAGGGAGGTCGGAAGGACCAAAGTAGGCAGGCGACTGTGGCCAGAAATGAGTTCATGAGAGTTGTAAAACCCTAAAAAACTAGTCTCGAGGGTGACCAAGAGAGGGGGTTGAGTTGGTAATTTAAAATTTTCTTTAACAAATAAAAAGTTAAACTCCCTTGATGCGGAAGTAGAACTAATTTTACAATAACAATCAAATATTTCAAACACAAATCAAATCACAAAAATAAACGCAAAAAATAAAATGTGAAAAAATAAATAGAAAGAACACAAAAACTTATAGTGGTTCGATCAATCTAACCTACGTCCATTTCTTAGAGACTCCCTCTCCAATTATTGCACTAAACAAAAGTGACTCTCTTTTTGCTTACACAACAAGGCGGAGAAGCTTGTACAGACACTGTTTCACCTCCCCGTGCGACAGAGAACCGTGACTCTTTTACTCAGAAAGCCTGTAATCTAGCGACGGAGGTCATAATGACCATAGTCTAATGACAGAGGTTAGAAGGACCTTTGTCTGGCAACGAAGGCCAGAATGACCATTATCTGGCAATAGAGGTCAGAAGGATCGTAGTCGTCAGATAACTGTGGCAAAAAATATCGTTATCTGACAAGGGAGGTCGGAAGGACCAAAGTAGGCAGGCGATTGTGGCCAGAAATGAGTTCATGAGAGTTGTAAAACCCTAAAAAACTAGTCTCGAGGGTAACCAAGAGAGGGGGTTGAGTTGGTAATTTAAAATTTTCTTTAACAAATAAAAAGTTAAACTCCCTTGATGCGGAAGTAGAACTAATTTTACAATAACAATCAAATATTTCAAACACAAATCAAATCACAAAAATAAACGCAAAAAATAAAATGTGAAAAAATAAATAGAAAGAACACAAAAACTTATAGTGGTTCGATCAATCTAACCTACGTCCATTTCTTAGAGACTCCCTCTCCAATTATTGCACTAAACAAAAGTGACTCTCTTTTTGCTCACACAACAAGGCGGAGAAGCTTGTACAGACACTGTTTCACCTCCCCGTGTGGCAGAGAACCGTGACTCTTTTACATGCAAAGATCCTTAACTCTATTTTCACCCTCCTAGTGATGGTTAGAGAACTACAACTCTATTTTCACCCTCCACGTTACGGTCAGAGAACCACAATCTTTGCTGAAGAACATCTCTGGAGCCACAAAAATTCTAGGCAGACGCTTGTGGATACTAGGCAGGATTCTTGCTTGGAGCAACCTTGTGAACCCCCTCACAAAATCTCCCTCTATTCTCTCACCAAGCTCTCATTTTTCTCTCCCTCAAGCTCTCTCTTACGAAGACTCAACAGCCAAAGATACCTCAAAAGAGTATGAAAGCCTTAAATAGCGGTCTTGAAAAATCCAAAATTTCAAGTAATCTGATTTATGTTCGTTCACTATGATAAATGTATCATACAGTACGATCAGCTCAATTCAGACTCGTCCAACAAGATCATTTAGATGAAATGTTCAACTTTTATAATATACATCACACAGTACGATAAAGCATCATACGGTATGATATGCAAAAATTTCTTCTGTTCGCTTGGGACGATCCTTGGGACGATCAACATCGTACACGGGTGATCATCCATCACTCTAGATATCGTACGGTATGATCAGTACAAAAATCATGGATTTCATTTGATACGATCCAAGGGATGATCAATTTCTTACAAGGGTAATCATATAGTATTAAATATTTCATACAGTACGATTAATCACAATAATTGTCCAACATTTGATTGCATGATATCGTGAGATTAATTAAGAAAGGTTTTAATTAGGTTGTACACTACGATCTAAATTGTACTGTACGATCAGCACATAATTAGTATCTTTCTTTACCTTTGGCGGCTAGAGTTTTGACAGAGAACAATAATTCGTACAGTACGAATTAAAATGGTGCAGTACGAAATACTTCATACGGTATGAAACCAGTTTCGTACAATACGAATTACTTAAAAAAATAACTCTCACAAAAATATTTTCATCTCCCCCTGTGTGTGTGCTAAGATTACTTAGCAACGTCATCCATCCAATTACATGATATGCCTCAAGAAAAGAGAAAATACATAATAAAATGAAAATCGACTGTAACTCTAGTCTACCCAGTCTTGAGTTGATCAGAATTGCAAGTGAACAGTGGCCTGATTTCCTCTAACATTAGTATGCACAAACACAAAATAGAATATCATAGAAATAAGAGAAAGCAATAATAAACACACTAATGTTTGTTATCATCAAAATTACGGTGCTTAAATATGATTTGCAACAATGTCTTCCTTTTTTATGATGACAAATATTATTGTTTTTAAATTTTCAAAAAATTATTTTCCTTTTAACTTCCCCTTAAATGATAACCAACTTGTAGGAAAAGAAAGTATAATCCACTGTTTCTTTTTTAAATGCAAACAACAATATCAATAATAAAAAAATAAACAACAAAATAAAACAACTATAATAACGATAAAAAACAAAATACTACTCCCATTTTTGACATCACAAATAAAGAAAAAAGCAGCATGAAGAAAAACAAACAACAGTAACACCAAAGGCTTAGGACAAACAAACTCAAAACGACAAACAACTTAGGTAAGAAAAAAACTGTCACAGTCATGAGAACTCTCGTAGGCATTTTTAGAATATATTAAACTTATTGTACAAGCAAAAAAGATAAATAAGATAAGTGTTGACTTTATTACAACTAGAGGATTTGAATTCTAGAGTTTGCACACTCAGATTAACATCTTTACAGGCTAAAATCATTTGTTTAAATAAAAAATATAATTCAAGAATTACAATTAGATAGGAAAACTTAAACTTTTCATACTGCTAGCATGAAATATGTCGAAAAGAATATTATGTAAAAGTGATAATGAAGAACCAAGACTTTCCAAGATCAAGTATAAACCACATTCTAAAACATATGAATTTTCTAAGAACTAAATATTTATTAGAAAGAGAAGCTAATTTAAGTTGAGCTCATTTTATGCATCTTTTATAAGTTTTTGACGTACATTACGCATCTTTTGTTTTTGATGCACTTACTACATCTTTTTATTTTTGACGTTATTGTGCATCTTTTGATTTTGGACTCATTTTGTATCTCTTTTGATTTTTTTTGTGCAAATTGTTGCCTTTTTAAATATTTAAGAATCTCAATTGTAAAGATTATCTTCCAAATAGAAGAGAGGAGTAACTCACTCTCTTATATAGGGAGAAATAATTTACAAAGCAAATCCGGTATTTTCTAATAAGAATTAATAGCCTAATTTATAAACAATAATGAATCTCGTATTTCAGATTACAGACAATCTTCCATCAATTTCTTTTTATTCCATTATTCTTTCCAGCAAGATTGCCTAGGTGACGCAGTCGAAGGAGCAAGAAAGCCTTAAACATCAGGGGCTTCAAGACAAGGACTGGAGCAAGTCGGCTACAGCTTAAAGAAGAAGATAGGAGCAGGGTTGTGTTCAACTTGGCGATGCACGGCACTCAACATGATTCTCAATGAAATCGAAATGTTTTTTTTAAGGTATTGGAGTCGATAGGTGTTCCGTTGGATCTCAATTTCCTTTCTGAATGAAAAAATAAACTAGGAGTGGAAGGAGATCTCGTCTGCTAGCTTGAGTAGGTGATACAAGATAGGAGAGGAATATCTGTTGGAATCAACAGAGTGAGAATACTTTGAACATGGTACCTGGGCCAGGTGGAAAATGAAGATCTAGTTGGGGTGGAAAGCAAAGGGAAAGGCTTTAGAAACCTCACTTTCTATGGTTGTCGGGATTATTTTGAATATATTTTTTAACACTCCCAAAAAAAGAAGAAAAAACATTCATTCATTTTTCCTATAATCATTCTCCCAAAGTCATCTCAAGCTAATTAATAACATTTGACCAAACATTTTAAACTGCCCGGTTACAATCTTATGTTGTGGTTTCCCAACACTTTCATTATTAGCATAATGAATAATTAAGAAATATTATAAACAATTATGTTTTCAAACTTCAAAAATTTAAATGAAAACAGTTTGCTCTTAGCTAATCTGGAAGAACCTTCTTATTGCCTATTTATGTACATAAAGAGAAACAAGACCAGTATTAATAATTCTAAGTTGAAAAGTTGGTGGTAACTTTACTAACCAAATGCTCCCCATAAACAACTCTTTGGTATCTCACAACTCCGCTAGTTTTCTCCTTGCAAAAATCCAGTGGCTCCACAGCTGTATCAAAATTTGGCTGTCCAAGCAAAATGAGAAACAATCAGACTGCAGCCATGGGGAAAACAGAGAAGGACATAGAAGACAAACCTCATAGAAGAACACAACGGATACCCGATACTTGGGAGAATTATTAACTACTCTGTGTAGAGTTGGCTCATACAATCCATTTGACCAAACCTAAATATTTGATGTTGATTTATGTTAGGCAGTGTTCACTTCTTGATAATAATTTAAAAAGATAATTACTAACTTATCAATCAGAATTGTTAATAGTGTTGGAGAAATAAGATGAATAAGATATTAGGATTGGAGAGGCTTTGTATTGATTTAACTTTGATTTGATATAAAATGGTAGAATAACATCTCCATTTAAAAAACGCAATCGAGAATTCTAGATAAAACAATAAAAGAGATATTCCTGCCAATTTCCAGAATTAATTACTATCTCCCATGTACCACCTAAAGGAGAGATTTTTACCAACTATAAGAAAATTCTAAGCTTATACAAATTACAAAAGAAATATAGAGACCAACACCATCACAAATCAAGTTTTTTTTTTTTTTTTCAAAAAATATTAGGAACCTAAACACCAAAATATTTCATATAAAGAATATGCACCCAGAACATGTCCATCTAACTATCCACCGCATTGTTAGCTAACTAATCAAGGAATCATGCATGATTTAACCGAACAATTGGACATATCTAATGAACTAGTTTGGTTAGCCTACTTAAAATACACATCTAATGGGTTCGCTGGGTAACCGAAAGGGATTTTAAACTAATAAAAGCACCCATCTGCTTGAGATTGAGAAGAATTACATTGACATGTTTTCTGAAGCAGCCATCAGAACAGGGGGAATTAAATGGAAGATTAGAAGCACCTCTAATACCATCTAGTTAAGAGTGATATATTCATAAGCATGAAAGTTTTAGGCTGGGATAAAGGTACATATATAGTTTAAGTAGAATAAATGTAAAAATATCTTATTTAAAACATATTATATGATAGTTCGCACTGGAAAGTTATACCTTGAGCATGTCGCCTATATTGCAGACAAAGGTTCCAGGAATTGAAACAGCACATATCCACTCACCTGCTCGGTTCTTCACCTGCAGCCCATCATCATGAAAGAAAAATTTGGTATAAATACTAGTTTAGAAACACACATACACTTGAGAGGCTGGCAATACCGATATTTATTCTTGTCTAATGCTTGAAAGCTTACTACTCTACATAAGCCAAATGAGGTATAACTTTTGAAATTATTAAAAAATTAAGCCAGAATATTATAGAATACTGTTATGTTATGTCAAAAGGATATAATTTCTCTTTAGTTGACTCTGCTCCCACACTATTCCAATTATTTCTCTCAAACCGCCTTCCAAGTTCCTTTTCCGTGTATTAGCTTTACAATAGTTCATGTTTGCAACAGAAAAGAAAGAATAAACACTCACTACATCTATCTCCTCTTAACTTTCATAAAGGAATACAAAAATATATGGACTCCTTGAAAGTGCAAGGCCCAAAGTGGAGCAGGAAGGTTTTTGAACTTTGAGAACAACTATTGGTCTAAATCAAGTGTAACAAACTGATAATGAGAAAGCACGTAGAACAATCAATAGAGTACAAAAATAAAATAAAGCAACAAGTAAACATCATCCATATTGAAAAAGGAAATAAAAGAAAACAATAAAAAGATTAATAAACACACAACATAAATAATTAAATAAATAAATCAAAACTAGTACAGAGACAGTATGAATCTTTTTTCTATTAAGATTAGTCAACATTTCTAGAATCAATGCCATACCTGAAGTGCATGAATTCCATCATCCTGGTTAACTAATGTTAGAAGTCCTGCAACGTTTAAATATCATAGTTATGCTTACTCACCCACCAAAAATGAAAATAACATAAATCTAAATCTTAAGGCAGGAGAGATTAGGTAAATATTGGATAAATATGTATCAGAAAGATTTACGTGTTAATCAAAGTTCTAGAAAAAACTTTCTTGAGTTGGTGGCAAGCAGCTTACCATAATCAGTATGAGCTTCACTGTGTTGTACGAACATTTAAAGGCAAATGAAGAAGATAACAAAAGAAAACAGACAACGTTAATAATGTAAGGTGCATTTTATCTTAAAGTTGGGTAAAGTACAGTACAGCATCTAACATAATTCAGATATTACCATCCAACATCATTATACTGCATCTCTCCAGCTAAACCTGGGTATCCAATGATACGCATTACCCAAAATGAGTTACCAGCCCTTTCACCTTCAAATGTTTCTGGAGGCCCACCCAATGCTAATGCAATTCCTTGCATTATTTTCCTAGCTAGCTCTGTAGGTAAGATAAAAGTTGTTAGTTCTGGGCATACAGTGTGAAATTTCAAAAAAAGCTAAACCTCTTTGAAGGCTGATGTACTCTTCCATCAGTGACTTGAAATTTGCAGGATTTTCTGGCCTGTGGAAAAGATTAAAAACAAAAGCTCAAGTTATTTCCCTAGTTATAATTTTTTTTACGAGATTCAACTTTCTTGTTTTTTCAGATTGAACCGCAACGGGTGTCGAGATCTATACCAACATCTCATCCTCAATGATAATTTTCACATCTTCCTAAATTATTAGTCTTCATGCATTCCTTTACTTGATGTAAATTTGATTTTCTTTAGACTTTATCACATTTACTTTATTCCCAGTGTTTTTTTGTATGGCAGGTTAAATTCCTTCTATATAAACAGTTGTATGACTTCTTCATATTTTGAGACAGTTAATATAATTTATTATTGTTTCATATGTTCCGATTCTCCAATCACACATGACTATCAAATCAAATCCAAATAATTCCCCAGTAGACTATTAATTTTATTGCATGCAAGAATTTCCTAGTTGACAGAAACTCCAGTTATGTTACTGTGCAAATTGCATTGGGAGTTTGCACTTCTTGTGCTTAAAATACAGTGAGATGCTTTTTTACTATTACGTTTTGATTGAATGTTGAAATCAAGGATCTATTCCCACGTGTTCTACATGACAATGGCCAAGATTTTTACCTCAATTGGTCTTTGATCGTGAACAACAGTTTTTGTGCATGCATCTTCACATTTGGCTTCATTTGGAACAGCTTTTTTACTGTTTTTTAAAATAGCTTTTTATTACAGATTTTTTTTTAAAATTTTTTGCACTGAAAATTTGTTTTATAAAGCAATATGAAAACTATTCCAAACGATGCCTTAGTTATATCCAATAATAAACTACCATACATTTGTCGATTTTGTTATGGTTTTGGATTATATATGATCAAGACATTTGAGACTTCTAGCACAGTGCATCATCAATGTCCAAAAATGTGTAACCCCAACTAAATGGCTTTGAAATGATTGCCGCAGCTTATTAAACAAGCCAATATCTAAGGTAGTGGTCGATGATCTGAAGCTACCATGTTGGAAGATGATCCAAATAGTAGAGAAGCAAGAAAGAAGTGATGAACAAGCTAGTAAAGCTAAATTTACTCTCAAAGTTATTGGGAATTGAAGCACTTTGTATAAATTAAAAAGATCCCCAAAAAGGCATAATAGTTAATCATGGTTCTCCATAGTAGAACCAACAAGGCGTTAATAAAATTTTGGAAAATGAGGATGCATCAACGAAGCATGATAAAATGCACTTAGTTTTTTTTATGAAGTAAGAATATTGTTTGATGAGAATAGTATTCTTGATCCAAATTCTTAATAACAAGAAAATAAGCAACATAGAATTTTGCTTCATGCTTTGATGAAAAATATCATGCTCATAAAACAGCTTTGTCTAATTGGCTAAACAATCAATTGATTCATTAGAGAATTAACTTGCTAATTAATAAGCCTTAAATTTTCAAATGGGTAATTTCACCACTTCAACATCTAAAGAAGAATCCAAGATTTCTATGAATAAAAAAAAAAAAAAAAATTTTCTAAGATAGAAATCATGGATCATAAAATGATAGAGGTCATGGTCATAGGAGAGAGTTCAAGTTAAATGAAAATAGTTATAGATGTAGAAATTTTGGTCATAGAATACATGATTATAAATTCAAACTAAAGCAACCATATTTCGCATGGTGTACAGATCATGTAGGAGATGACAATGGTAGCTGGGTTCTTCCCTCTCATGCAGTCATATTAAATTTTTTGTAATGATCTCCAAATAAGTGGAAAATTTATCAGCATTTATTAATCATCACGTTGGTCATGAGGAATGTTGTGATTATTTGCATACTTATTTTGATTCTTATGTGATTTCTAATATTGAAGATTATCTTTTCCTTGTCAAAAGTACTGAATGCCTATTTATTTCTACATCTACAAGCTCATTATGTGTTAATAATATTATTATGTTCCTGTAATGAAGTAGAATTTGATTCTTATTTTTAAAATAATCATAATGAATATTTATTGTGTTTTGAACCTAATAAAGAAGGAACTTTGTCAATGCCAATGTTTCTAGTAAGCTTATCTGAGGGAAGGAAAATGAATAAGGATTTTATTATGCTGGCACAGAGTTCTTATATTGATAGAATTCTTAGGTGTGACTAAGGTAATTCATGGCATGCTAAATTTGCAAATGTGAATCATAACACGCTAGGAGAGAGAAAAAAAAACTCGATCAATACTCTTTCTAAGCTAAAGGCGATTATATGAATTATATATGACATATGGCAGTTTGAAAATTTTCAAATTGAATTCATTTGATTAGTTTACACATAAGTTTTATAATTAATTCTAAACCTAACACTAACTGCCAATCTTTGTCGTACAAGTTTGGGACTAACATAGAAAATGTAGTGATCATATAATGAAGTTATGTGAGCGAATACTAAAACATAAATTATGAAAAAGTGAGTCGGACACAAAAAATTAATTTAATTTCATGCAACAAAGTTCTATTATGAAAATATATTTTTTCCTATAACAATTAATGGAAAGGGAAATTAGAATAAGATGATAAGATTGGCAATAAATTATTTTTTAGTCCATAGTCTAAAATTTTATTTTTCAAGTCCAAAAAAAAAAATCCTAATATTTCTAAATTTGGTTATCGTGCTTTAGATACAACAACATCAAGCCTTTATCCCACTACGCAAGGTCGGCTAAATGAATCCTTTTTCTCTATTGTGTCTTGTTAAGAGTCGAATTATCATTTAAATCTAATAAAGAAAGATCATTTCTAATATTTTCTAACCAATCTTTTAAGGTCTACCACTACCTTTCTTAACATAAGCCGAATCTAATACATATATTCTCCTAATCGGGTCATTGGAAGGCAATCGTTTTATGTGACCAAACCATCTAAGCCGACTCTCTCTAATCTTATCTTCCACTAGAGCTACTCCAACCTTTCATGTTATATGCTCGTTTCATATACTATCTCTAAGAGTAAAGCCACTTATCCACCTAAGCATCATCATCTCTGCAACACTTAACTTAATATTATGCTTCTCTTTTAATTGCCAACATTCTACACCATAAAGCATGACAGGTCTGATCACCACCATCTTATAGAATTTTTTCTTAAATTTGAGCAGGGCTTTTTATCACACAACAAGCTCGATGCATTCCTCCACTTCAACCATCCAACTTGAATTCTATGAATAATATCCTCATCTATTTTATCATCACTCCGAACAATAGACCTAAGATATCTAAAACATGTATTCTTATTAATGACTTGATCGCCCAAAATCACGCTCACCTACGAGATTTATTACTACTAAAATTACACTCCATATATTCGATTTTAGATCAACTCAAATGAAAACCTTTAGACTCTAAGGTTGGCCTCCATAATTCAAGTTTACCTTCAACTCCCTCTCTATTCTTATCAACAAGAATAATATCATCAACAAAAAGCACACACCAGGGTACAACCTCTTGCAAATGTCTAGTAAGAACATCCATGATTAAAGCAAAAAAGATATGGGCTTAAGGCTATTCATTGATGTCAACTAAAATAGGAAAATACTTAGTCAAACCACCTTGTGTTTGAACACAAGTAATAGCTCTTGCATACATATGCTTAATGACTTGAATATAAGCATTATTAAACCCATTCTTTTCTAGAACTCTCCATAGCACTTCTCTTGGAACTTTTTCACATTTTTTCTCTAAATCAATAAATATCATATGTAGATCCTCCTTATTCTCTCCATACTTCTCCATCAAAATTTTAAATAAATGTATAGCTTCCATAGTAGACCTCCCTGGCATGAATCCAAATTGATTTTGAGAAATCACGTCGTAACCTATGCTCCATAACTCCCTCCTATAGTTTTAAAGTATGTCACGTTAACTTAATTCCTCTATATTTTGCATAAGCTTATGCATCCCTTTTATTCTTAAAAATAGGAATCAACACTCATTCTCCACTCATTTGACATCTTTTTAGCTTTTAAAATAATAGTAAAAAGTTTAGCAAGCTAAGAAATTCATTCATCAAATAAGTATTTTGACATCTCTATTGTAATATCATGAGGTCCAACAGCTTTCTCGCACTTCATTTTCTTTAAAACCTCTCTAACATAGGTTTTACTATTACGCCGATAAAAACAAAAATCTTTATTTTCATTTAGAGTGCTAAGGTCACTAAATTCAATTACATTATCACAATCTTTATTGAAAAGTTTAGCAAAATATCTAATCCACCTTTGTTGAATACCCTCTTCTAAAAAAAATAACACTTTTTGATCACTTTACTTGAACTAAATCTTACGACTCTTACTCTTTTTTTGGCTAACTTATACATATATCTTTTGTTCTCATTTGTATCTAATCTATTAGATAAATCATTAAAAACTAAAATCTTGCATAAAATATTGCTTTCTTAGACTTTTTATGGGCATTCTTATATCTTTCTCAATTATCAGAATTTTTAAATCTAAACTAATTTTTATTACAAAGTTCTTTTATTTTTAATATTTTCTTATACATTTTTATTCCACTATCAACTATTTTTACTATTAGAAGGCTTTTCCTTTGATATTCCAAGCTATCCTTTGCAACATTCTTAATATCATTATTTATTTTTCCCCCATAACATTAGCTTACTCATGCACAGACAAAATCTTAAGATCTAAAATATTACTCTAAAAAATATTTTTGTTAATATTCTTTAAATACTTCCATCAAATTGAGAACAACGTTTTACTTTATTTTTTATATTATACATCTTCATCATGAAGTCCAAAACTAATAAGCAATGTTGAGTACATAAACTTTTACTTTGAATAATTTTATAATATTTGCAATTTAAACGATCTATTTTTTTTTATAAGAAAGTAATCAATATGAGTTTTACTATATCTATTATTGTAAGTAATGAAATGCTAATCCTTTTTTTTAAATAAGATATTACCTTCATTAGTTGCTCCAAACGTATAGCTATCATGAATGCTTTTAAAATCATCTAAATCTCTACCAAAATGTTCATTTAAATCTTCTCCAATAAAAAATATTTCTTGAAGAGGTATTTTTTGTATTCATTTTTCTAAGTCATTCCAAAATTTTAATTTTGAACACAACCAAATCTATTTGAGGAACATAAACACATATTAATAATCTTAGCATCAACAATAATCTTTAAAATTATAATTCTATCTCCAATTTTATTAATATTTACAACATTATTTTTCAAACTTTTCTCTAATTACACTGCACTATTTCTAGTATGACTCCTACTAGAATATTTTAATTTAAATCTTAAATTATCAATCTCCTTAGCCTTCTCTCCAACCCCTTTAGTTTCCTAAATGCATAGAATATTTATCTTCCTATGAATCATATATCTATTAATTTCATTAATTTGCCTTTAAGGGAACTTATATTCCAAATTTTTATCCTAATTTTAGTTTCACGAACTAGTTTCTTGGATATTGTGCTTTAGATGTGATTGTTAAAATAATGTAATTCATTTGACTACTCAAGGTATGAATATTGTTGCTAACTTTATGTATTTATTCACACAACCAATAACCATATTCAAACCTTGAGTAACTAAATCCATCATTTTTATAACCACATCCAATGCATGATAACCATATTTATAAAACCATACAAACTTCTAAAAACCCAAATAACTAATTTCATGCAATCAATGATCTCATTTAGACTTTGAGTAATCAGATCCACTATTCCAAAGTGGCATTAACCAAATTTATAAATACTAAGAATAATTACAACTTTGGACTTAATAATTTTTTTAGACAATGTACTAAAAAATAATTTTTGATCAACTGTAGAACCTTTGGTTAATTTTCTCTTAACAAAAGCATATAGAGCAAATAAATGACCATTACAGGCTTTTTATTGATCTGGACAAGGCATAAAATCAAGCACCATACCAATTGAATTAGTATGCATTAAGGGAGAAAACGTGTGTTAAAACAATGGTCATGTTATTAAAAATATGCATGATAAAGCATAAGTAATAATAGTAGTTGTGGATTGCCAAAAAGTTTCCAATTAATGAGGTAAGGATCAATATTTAGTCTAGATATTTTTGTATTGGTTATGAATATGCTCACAAAGAATATTCTAAGTGATGTGTCTTGTAAGCTTTCATAGATGATATAATTCTAGTGGTAAGAAATTTATTGAAATAAATAAAAAAGCTAATATATATATATATAGGTGAAATGTGGAACAATGGAGAAAATGTTTAGAAAATTAAAGCAAAAGTATGAATATATGATGACTTAACGTGGTCCTTCAAACTTTACCCAAAAAGCATTTGAAAGAAAGGCTAAAATCGATTCAAATATTTTGGTATCAATCCATGGAACTACCAAACTAATAGCACATATTTAGGGGTAATTCATATACCATAAATTCTTTCCTTCCATGGTTTTCCCAAAAGATCCATATTCTCCCGATTCCATAGGCCTGTAGCACTGTCAATAAACACGGCTAACCTTTTTTCAGGCATTAACATACAACAAAATGCAAGACTATAAAATGTATAAATCTCAAAAATAATGAACTGATTATACACAATAGATCAAATACAAAACATACATCAATAGCTTCGTGCATATCTGGTTTTCCAAGAGTTATATTTTCCCCAAGTCTCTGGTAGCCCCTAATGATTTAGATGAGATAGATGATGCCAAATGTGTATAACCAATATGTAAAATCAAAACAGTAGCTAAAATTAAGAAGCATACCTGTAACCAGTTTTCGGTGACATCTTAATCTTAACTTTTTCCTCACAAGGAAGATCAAAGAATTTCCGTGTCACATTTTTAACTTCTTTGACGAGTGAGTCAGGAATACCATGGCCCTTCTGTTAAATAATATGAAAGCAAGCCAATGTACTTCATAATTGCATATGTTGCAATTTTTTTTTCTAATCTGAAGCAACGTTTGAATATATAACTGCTTTGGCAGCAAAGTCTGTCAGGCACTGAATCAGTTGACCTTAAGGTTTTCAAAAACCAGTTCGCTTGCTAGAACCGTTGAACAAGATCAAAACAAGAAAAAAAATTGTTTAGCCTCTGTACATAACAAATACGATTCATTTGAGCCGTCATAAATACATTTATAATCTTCACACCATAAGCCCATTGTATAATGACCCTCCATCGTTGAAAGGAAGAATATAGACCCATGATTCATGAATCATGATGTATCCTTTGATCATGATGATGAGACAGTAGTGGTCATGTTATTTTTCTAAACTTATCATCACAATAATAAAGATCATCAACTCTATTCTGGACGTCTTTTGGTACACCTTCTAACCATGTTCTTAGGTTAAATTCTACTCCTTCCACGTTAATCCCAACTAGCCAGATTCTTAGTGCCATCCGTTACTCTAAAACCACCTGATTAGGTCTTCCAATCAAACTAAATTCAATCAATTCTATTTTACTATCCCTCTAGTGAAATCATCTCTCACTATAGCCTTTCGACTTAACATACATAATTATATCACAAAACATAGCTATCAATGACATTTTCGTTACACAACACTAGCATCAAAATAAAATAGGTAATCCAAGAACAGTTTTATAAGTTTACCTTTAAACTTTTATAGTATTATGGTATCATGTTATCATATAGAACTCCTAAGACACTAGTCTATTTAAACCACGTTTCCAAACATCACTTTGTGAGTTTGTGTTAATGCATAAACTATTGTCTATAAAATACGTTTTCTCTCTTAACGCTTATCTCAAGCTAATTTATGAGTGTATATTATGAATGATGGAGAATGAGACATGGTAATATGCCCATTATCACGACATTCCTTATTATTCTAAGCTGTGCTAAATTGTATTTGTTTGTACATAGAGGATGGACTTTAGGAGTTAAAATCAAAGCATCAGATATAATCTTTCATCCATAATACAATAGAAAAATCACTATAGTGGGATAAAGGCTTGTTTTAGTTGTTGTTAAAGTTCAATAATTTCAGCACACCAATGTTGTAAATAGCTCACTACAAATCATGATGTAATCAGGTATAGAGATTACTGAACCATGAACAAATAAATGCTTCTACCAATTGGACCTTGGTAAAGTTTTAAACATGTTCAATAAAATTTGTCCATAGAAGGTGCCTCATTTTATTATGAAGTATGCCTTTTAATGTTAAACAAAGACGACTAAATGAACCTATATTACCTAAAAGAAACAGTAAAAACAGGAAAAAAAAAAAAACCACCAAGCATTAGCACACAAAAAAACACACTATTTAATTTTTCACAAATGATAGCCAGCCTATCATTTCTTTAAAAATAAATTGCATAACAGCATCTGAACAGAGATATAAAAGGAGTCTATGTAAATTATATTATGATTACAGTAAATATGAAATCGATTAAAGAAGATAAGAAAGCTGCCACTGATGGAAATGAGGTTTGGGGATTCAAGTTTATTTAATTATAGCAAAGGTGCCTTAAATTGTCAAATTATTGTCATGTGTATGCTGCATTATGTAGTTCCATTGATGCTTGTTACTCTTGAAAACAAAGACTGGGGGAAGAGGGAAATGATAATATGATAATGATTGAGAAAATCTTCTAGGCCTACTCATATATCAGAAGAGATCTACCTCAAATTCGAATAAAACATTCTATTAACATAAAAAGAGCATTCAACTGTCGTCCATTTTGTCAAATTTATTGTCTTGGTAAGTTCAGAATGTCAGAATGTCAAAATAGCCTAGTTAATGTAGGACAACATGCATGAATCAGAAACTTGCACAAAATTTGTTAAGAGCAATTTTAGATTTCATTATACATGATTAAAACAATAAAGTAAAACTAATAAACGGCACTTCCGTTTAGGCAAAACTACACAAGGTGCTAAACGAATTCAAAACACGTAGGAAAATAAAGCATTATATACAAAGTAGTTTCCAACTTAACCTTTGTTTAACAAGAAGATCCAAAAGCAACGAGGTAACAATTCCTACAAATATTAGTGGATGGCGATAAGTAGACACAATCTCTTGCTTGTGCAATTTCTCACGAAGAAAATAGAATTTGAAAGTAATGAGTCAGTGAAGAAGATCACCTTCCCGGAGAAACGACATGGATCACTATACCTTTTCGTTACTTCTTCTTCCCCCGCCTTGATCACAATGAATAGCAAATGGTAGATGGCCTTCTCTTTGATTCCAACAATGTTTGGAGTCAAGTTGAAGAAGGCAAGTTGAGAAGATCCATTCACTCTTAGCCTACGTATGCAAAACCGGACTCAAGCTCCGGATCGATCATCCATAGCCACTTAACAAGGAGAGATACCTCGAGAGGGAAGGAAGAGAGAGGGAGTGGACGGTGGGGAGAAGGTGGCCGGCGGGTTGTAAGGGGAGGGAGACGGCTAGGGTTAGGAGGAAGCTAGGTTAGGTGGAATAGAAATTGTTTTAAATTCCAAATCTGAAATTATTCTCAGATTTAAGTAAAAAAAGAGGGAAATTAAATGAATTTGAAATTCAAATAGCATGACATTAAGTCCCTTAATGAAGCACTTAAGGAGGTGGGCCCACTAAGGGGGGCCGGCAGCATGTAGAGAGAAATTAGGGGTGAGGGGAAGAGGAGTTATGCGTTTCCTAATCCGCTCCGCCTAATTAATTATGAAAATTTCAAATCCGCTCAAATTCAGATTTGAAATTTGAAATCTCATTGAAACTTTCCTAATTTGGCGTTGGACAAAATTGGAAACTTCCAATTTTGAATTTTGAAATTCAAAAATTGGGGGAGATGACAAGAAGGGACCGGTGATTGGTGGAGGGGATGGTGGTGGGAAAAGGGGGAGGCCGGCGGTTAAGGTGGAGGCCGGCAGGATGAAGGGATGGTGGGGGGTGGTCTTAAGGGTATGGAAACTACTTTGTATACTTATCGCCATCCACTAGTATTCATAGGAATTGTTACCTCGTTGCTTTTAGATCTTCTTGTTAAACAAAGGTTAAGTTGGAAACTACTTTGTATACAATGCTTTATTTTCCTACGTGTTTTGAATTCGTTTAGCACCTTGTGTAGTTTTGCCTAAACAGAAGTGATCGTTTATTAGTTTTACTTTATTGTTTTAATCACGTATAACGAAATCTGAAATTGCTCTTAACAAATTTTGTGCAAGTTTCCGATTCATGCATGTTGTCCTACATTATCTGGTATCAGAGCAATGGTTAGGCTAGGATTTTCTTTCTAGAATACTTCCTAGGGTGTTACCTAACTTTTGTTCGAGTTTCTGCATACATAACATTGTTAGATTCATGTTAAAATCTATTTCATGCTTGCTGTCCAGAATTTCCTGCAACATTTAGTGAGCTGTAAGTTCATCGTTTAGGTGCATAAGTGCTGTCTATCACTTACCCACTTCATTAATTGCATAGGGAACCTTAATCCATATGTGTAGCCTGCTGTCCCTATGTTTCCTGCACCTTATTTCATCAACTTAAGTGTGTTTCTTTAGTAATTAGCTGCTGTCTTCCTTCTAGAACCCCTCCCAAGTCTCCCATTGTGTGTAGGAATGGACCTGGAACAAATAGGGAGGACTTTAGACCTCTTGGTAGGACAGATGAACACCATGAGCCAGCAGTTGAAGGAAAATCAAGCTGACCTAGCGGAGCTTCGTAGGAACACCACTGAGAGGTTCGACACATTAGAGCGAGCTAGGGAAAACCCGATTCCCTACACCCCTTCGAGACCTCCATCCATGTATGGGGATGACGTCTACCACGATGAGGGACCTCCTCGTGCCCATCATCGTGCTCCCCAATATGGACATAACCATCCTCACGACCCTGATGTGCCACTCATGAAAAATATCAAAGTGGATGCTCCTACCTTTGATGGCACGCTAGATCCCCAGATCTTCCTGGATTGGGTCAAAGGTATGGATAGTTTCTTCAAGTGGTACAACATTTCTGACGCGAGGAAGGTTAGTTTTGCTGAGATGAAACTCACAGGTTGGGCGGGATAATTCTGGTCAAATTTAGAAATCCTTAGGGAACCCCGCAATGAGTATCCCATTACTGATTGGCTCACTATGAAGCGGGAATTGAAACACAAGTACGTACCTCCGTCCTATTTCCCCAGACTGTTAGACAAGTGGAATAGGCTGACCCAGGGTGGCAAACCCGTCAAGGATTACATCGCATCCTTTGATGATTACTTGATTAGATGCAAAGGGGATACCGCTGCTACCCCCGCACAGATTCTGTCCATGTTCCGAACTGGGTTGCGAGAGGATCTTCTCAATGAACTGTTTGCCCGGAACGTTACTGCCTTAGAGAATGCATACAGTATTGTTCTTGACCTTGAAGAAAGTTGGTCTCGGCACCCGAACCGGTCCCACGACGTTAGGCACTCGTATAGACCTTCTGGTAGCTCCACCCCTCACACTCCTACTACACGACCTCCACCTGACCTGAAGCAACAGCCGACCACCCACCGGCCTCCTGCTCCCGATCTGATGTTAGAACCAAACCACCCACCCCAGATACGACTGTCCAAACCCTGGAACCAAGTGCTTTCCGATGTCAGGGGTATGGGCATATCACCTCACCCTCATGCTCCAGTCCTTACAAGATTTTCATCATCGAGAGATTATTGACGATGATCCTGAACCCGAGGGTGATCAGATCCATCAATGTCGAGGATGAAGGCGAATCTTTGAGGACGACGAAGAACCACCGTCCTCCATTGCTTCAGAAACTGGATATCTCTCCCATCTGTGTGGTGAGATGTGCTCTATCCAGCCCACCCCCACTGATGACTGGCGTAGGACCACCATTTTCTTCTACACAAAGATCAAGGATAAGAACTGCAAGGTCAT